CCATAAAAACTGTTGTTTCTTAAAAACAGATAGCTATTAATAATAATGAAGTTTTGAAACAGGAAAAAAATATAACCACATTAGAAAACCATCTCAAGGAAAAAGTCAATCATATTATTTTAGTCTTCCATTTGCTGGAAATAAATTCGGAATAGATTACAACACTTATGACTTTAAAAAATATGGATTTACAGCAATAATAAAACTATCTTCTGAGCCAGGCGGATATCCTTCAGGCATATTTGATGCACAATCACTTTTTTTCCGAGGCAGAACTCTAATTGAAATTATTTTTCCCATGAAAGTAAAGATCGATTCAATATTCTTCAAACAAAAATCATATAGTGTGTTTTTTAACACTCGTAAAGTTTTTCAATTTATCAACAAAAATAAAATCCAAGAAGGTCAAGAATTACCAAGCAACGACAAAAACGGCAAGCTTGATCACTTGTATGAATTTAATACAAATGGAGACTATATAGATGCTTTTAGAATGTCAATCATACCAGATGACAAAATGATATTCTTGGATTGAGTGATTTTGATATGATATTGGAGACGGAAACTCAACCATCAGCGAACATCATTAGAAATCACGAACCACAAGATGAAGAAACACAGTTTTATGAGTATTTACGAACATCAACAGACTTTGAATATGTAAAACTATATTTTGTTAATAATAATCTTTTCACCTCTGTTGATGTTCATAAAACTCAATTTCATAGAAACTTTTTAATACCAGTAATAAAAGATGAAAATGTATATGTATGCCAGTTTTACATTAAAATCTCCATTGAAAAAACAAAATTTTCAGTAAAACTAAAACAGTATATTAAATGTCAGAGAAGATGGAGTAGAATTGATTCTGTTTTCAAAGCACTGATTGTAGTTCTAACAGTAGGAACAACACTTGCAATAGCCATAACTGGTGGATTAATGGTTCCAGTACTTGTCCCAACTGTATTAGCCACAATAACTGCTATTCGAACTTCATCTTGTGGCTTGATTGCTATAGGTTATACATCCAAACAGCAATCTTATTATAAAAACGAAAAGAGAAATTTTAAATACATATCTTAATAAATTATTTATGTTTTTCGAAAGATCATGAGAAGATAAGAACATAACCATTGAAGAATTAGAAGAATTCAATGAAATTTTAGATAAATTTGATACGGAAATATCAGCAATAAAAGTTAAAAAATAGATAATGAAAGAAACATATATAAAAAATATGAATAACATTGAAATTATAGACGATGAAACATTCATAGAAAACGTGCCATTTACCAATCTTATCAGCTGATAAATTTTCAACATTTAATGGTCAAATTGAAATAGATGGAAAGATAATCGAGATAATTTCAATGCAGTAGTATATGTCTTTTCGGATATGACGCATTTCACTTCTGCGCATGCGCAGCTTTTTCAATGCATCATATCCGAAAAGACACAACTGTTAAAATGTATTATAACAGACTCCCCAAACTGTACTATAACAGACTCCCCAAACTGTATTATAACAGACTCCATATAAATTACACAGACAATAATCACTAAAAATAATACAGTAATAAATAACCGCATTAAAAATGTCTTTAATTTTAAAACACGAACAAAAAAAATTCGAAGGAGACGGTTTCTTCTCTGCGCTAACAGCTCTCATCCCCAAAGTGGCCAATTTTGTATCAAACAACAAACCCCTCCTTTCCTCAGAAGCGCAAGCTCTTTGATCTGTGGCAAAAGCAGGAGTAAATATAAGCGATGCAGTGAAAAAATCTGACGAACTTAAAGAACTGCAGCTAATAAGAGAACTAAGAAACAAGAGACTAGAACGACAAGCCCTAGAAAAACAAGGAAAAGGGTTTAAAATCATTGGATAAAAATGGCAAGCAAAAATTACAGATTGGATCCAATCTTTCAATTAAATGATCCGATTCAATATTCGTTCAACAAAAAGAAAGAGGATTACGTAATCATCTCACCATCGGTAGGGACAAAGACCCAAATAAACGACGGAGGAAGAGTTACCTTTGAAATTAATTCGTTGTCCAATTGGTTGCTGCTTTCCGATGCCCATTTCCGATGCGATTTCAAAATCAAAGACGCTGCTCAGAATCGAATTCCACAAACCAACACGACTTAAGAAAACAACTTCTTTCCGTCTTTATTCAGCGAAATGGTTTTGGAAGCTGGTTCAAATCCGATAGAGACCATAAAACACCCCGGCGAGTTTGACACAATGTTGAAAACGGTTCTGTATCCCAAAAACTACGATGTCGGTGACGGAGAAGTTTTAAAAGAACGGTTAGAACTGTAGCAAATGACGCAGACCTTGCTAGGATAAGGGTAGTTGCTAGAAACACACTGGAAAGAGTGACTCGCGGAGTAAATCACGGATTTGAAAAACGAGCGCTTCAATACAACAACGTTGTCGAGAACAACAGATGGGGTAATTACGTAAATTGGAAGTTGTATCCTTTATTTGGTCTCTTGGAACACAGAAAGGTTTCCATAGGTTTACCGTATAAAATTCATTTGCAAAGAGAAATCAACGACAACAAGATATTCTTTGGTGAAAACAACTCTGACGCAAAATTGGAAATAACGAATATCCAACTTTACATACCGGTAATCACTCCTTCCGTAGAAGTGGAAACGAGAATATTCAACTCTTTAACCAAAGACATCGAAATTGCTTTTCTTCGTCGTAACACGGTAGGTAGCATGACTTTAACGGGAGAATCCACCACGTGGCCAATTACCAACACCGTCAAACCAGCGAGATATCTAATGGTCGGTTTCAAAAACTTGCCAGACTCTCAGACAAACAACAACAACATTTTCAGAGTGGCATTGAACCATACTCAAGATCCCACCATTCGCAAAGTTCAAGTCAGATTGAATAACGATAATTATCCCAATCAACCTTTGACAATTGATCCTTCCAAAAAAGATTACAACGAATTGTACAGAAACTATAAAAACATGTGCGAATTGTTTGGAAATACGCCTCAGTTTGAATACACAGATTTTTCACTCAATCATCCAATCTTTTGTTTCGATCTGTCAGCTCATCAAGAAGATCTTTTCAAAACAGGGGTAAACATAAATATTCACATCGATAAAACACAAGGAGATGTGACCGGCTACTGTTTATTGCTGGAAGAAGCAAAACATTTGATTAAAATATCAGGTAGAAGAATGATAAGAATTGAATAAAAAAACACCCTTTAAAAATGAAACCAGAAACTTTAGTTATGAAAATAATAGAAGCTATGGAAACGAATTCACCGACTCTAATAACTTACAACGGTAAAAAAGTGCCAATAACCCAAAAGATTATCGATAAATACAAACATTGCAAAGTCAGATACGATATAGACTTGGAAAGAATTGATGAGAATTTAACTAAAAAAGGTGGATTTTTACCTTTCTTACCTTTAATCTTTGCTGGTTTAGCTGCAGCCGGTGCAACTGCTGGTGGAGCTGCTGGGATAGCCAAAGCTGTCAACGATAAGAAAGCTGAAGCCGCTGCAAACGCCGAAGCACGTAGACACAATTTGGCAATGGAAAGAGAAGCACGAGGAGGTTCGGGAGTAGGAGATATATTAGGGACGGTTAAAGAATTCGGACAAAGATTTGGCGAAGAAACCAAGAAAACCGTTAAAGAGGGATTAAGCAAATTAATAGATAAAATCGACACCGGAGAAATGAAGGTCAAACACATGGGCAACGCCATATTTTTTAAAAACATACATTCGGGCGAGGGAATCTTCCTTTCAAAGTATAAAGGCAACGGGGTGATTTTTGGTACGAAAATGTAATAAATAAAAATGGGCAAAAAATTTAATCATTCAGAAATATTTCCTAATAAACCCAATGCTCATGTGTATATGCGGTAGTTCAGGTTCTGGGAAAACTCATCTCACTTTTAACATGTTGACAACACCAAACCTTTTAGATTTCGATTCTCTGTATATCTACACAACAACACCAGAGCAATCGTATTATCAATTCCTCAAAGCTTTGGAATATTTACCAAAGAAAGACGTTCAAGACATATTTCAATATTACGAGGAAAACGAAGAAGAAGTGGAAATAAAAGATATCATAGAAAACTTCATTAAATCAAAGAATCCATCTTTCAATCCAACGGATATAAAAGTTTTTCTTACGAAAAATGTTCATGATCTAGACTTGTCTAATATTGATAGCAATCGAAAGAACTTAATATTGTTTGACGACTGCGTAGCGCAAAGAAATCAAACTGTTCAACAATAATTCTTCACCAAAGGAAGACATCACAACTGTCACTGCATATACCAATCCCAATCTTTTTATGGGATGGATTCTATGTTCATTAGAAAAAATGCAAATTGTTTTTTATTATTTGAATTAAACGATAAAGATTTATCTCAAATCATTCAGTCTATAAATCACGGAATGGACAGAGATACATTTAAAAAGGTTTGTAAGCTCAATGGAGAAACCCAGATGATCATGGAGGGAT